ATATATATAATAATAATAATAATAATAATAAATGCTTGAGTAGGGGTATTTTCGTCATATTTTGAAAAAAAATGTAATGTGAGGGGGTTTTTTGTATTTATGTGTAGTACATGGGGGTATTTGATACAAACTCCATAGTACAGGGGTGTTTTTGTATTTAACCCTAAAGAAAACTATTAAACAAAATAAAAAAGAAAAGGAAAAAAAACTGAATTGGCGTGATGAGGGGAATAATTTTTGGAGAAGATTTGAGTGTAGATTATGGGTATAATTTTTTTTAAATTAAATAATTATACTAGCTATTAATTAGTGCATATATGGTTTTTCAGGCCCATTGGATTTATCTCAAATATCATTTATAAATAAAGAATTTATCAAAAATTAAAATCCCAATGAATGGTGTTTGACATATAACCCCTATTTTTTAAGGGGTCATTACAAATAAGCCCATCAATGGCTACTTATTCATAAAAAGATACAGACAAAAAACTCATTTACCAATAAGTCCACACATGGTCCAGATTTTTGCAAAAGACTAAAATAGCCCCTCATAGTTTAATATGTTCTAATTTCATCCTTAATTTAATTTAACCTCAATTTGAACCCAAATTTCACAAATTATTCAATTTTGACCCAAATTTTCTTTTTTTTAAATTCAAAATTTTTTTTGCCGCCGGACTCCGGCGTTGACCGGAGTTGACTTTTCCAAACTTTTTTCTTTCTCTTCCGGATTTTTTCTATATATAAATATTATTACATGCATTACTCGAGCTTTATTTGTTTAATCCATCATTCCTTCCGGCAAATTAGGATATGGACATGTGAAAATTCAACTCTGTATATGTCAACGACGTCCAGCCACGCACCATTTAAAATAGTAACACGAGGCATTGTGTAAGAACATATATATAGTTGATAGTTTTTTTTTTCTTTTTTTTTTTTTGAATTTTATATATAGTTGATAGTTGAAAATACACTTACGAAGTATACATATTTTTCAGTTATATCCTATTAACTGTTCAACACTCTTTCTGCTTTAATTAGTATTTATTTTCCTAAAATCCACACATATTTATTGAGATTCTTAAGACTTGTATCAACGTGAAAAATGACACATATTTAGGTGCGGCGAGAGTATTACTTATTGAGTTTAGGGTTTGCGTTTTGCTAAAGTCAAACCTAACCTTAACTTTTGAGTAATACTAGTATCTCATCCATGCGTTGCACTGGGTTTATCTTAAAGATTGAAATCCCTTACGACAAGATACTAAACAGCAACAAAAAATTAATGATAAAAAAATAAATATAATTTAAGATTTTGGGAAATGTAATCGGGTAAAGTTAACTTAGCAATCGTCTAAGAGAAACTATCGACAACGTTGAGACATCTTCCACACCAAAATACTACAACTAACTCCATTGATGGGAACGAATCGTGATTCCAACTTATACATCCAACTGTTTCTCGATATAGTAGACCACGACATTACATTCAAATCAACCATTACCGAGTAATTTGTGATTTGTTTCTAATGTAGTTCTTCAAGACTAATTTGTGATTTGTTTGAGTAGATGTTAATTGAGGCTTTTTTTTCACATAATAGGTGGTAATCCTTATATATATATATATATATATATATATATATATATATATATATATATATATATATATATATATATAATTGGGTATACATGATTGTACACATTATATTATCAAAAATATATTTCTTTAAGTTGAAAATGTAAAAAATGGTAATATACAGAAAGACATGACAACAGTTTACTATAGTTACACACAGTCATATTTGGTTGTAGTCATATTCTGCCGTTGTAGTCATAATCGACATAGTAACTCACATGTTACACTTCTCCTATTGTAGTATAACTGCATGCATGACTGTACATATGAATTGAAATTCATACGAAAAAAGAAAAGGAATAAACTGCAAAAACCGTCGTTTTTGTAGTGTCGAAACTGCTAAAAAAGAGTTCTTGTATTATAAAAATTAGCGAAAAGATGTGCTAGATGCATGTTACACATAGCAATGTAGCAAGTGATCGAAACCATTACACATTGTCGAATCAATTTCAACAATAAAAACATATCGACCAAATGAAATTTATTTAATTCAAAATTCGAAGAAAAAAAAAACATACACAATCTCATTCGGTTCGCGACATCATATTGTATATAACTTGATGCCGTGGTCTTGTTCGAAGAGAGGCACGTCGTTGCGATTCAACTGCACCCACGCATCAATTCCGTCACCCTCTTTGTTATCCGTTAGTATTACGATGTTTTCAAGAGTCATTGTCCCGATTCCTGCGCCAACAGGCTTCCCCCACCCGAAATCGGCTTCGTAGAATCCAAACTTACTCCAATCGCTAAACATGATTGAATAACTAACCTCCCCACTCATTAGTTTCCCGTACATATCTTCCACGGGGCCCATCATTACACCGCGCCAACGACCCGGAGAAAGCATTTCGGCACAATCAGCTATGGTTTTATCGAGAGCATCACCGAGAATATCAACCAGTTGTTGTTCGATCCCAATTACGACGTTACTATTATTGTTATTATTATTATTTGTTGTTTCGGCCGGAGAAATAAAGCACGGCGTGGGTGATAATAATATCAAATTCCCACAAGAGTGCTTTTGGAGAGGCGGGATTGTTCTCGCACGCATGTTCACCGCTTGCGCCATGAGGCAAGATCTTGATTCTCCTCCGTGCTTCGCCCGGTCAACGCCGATCAACGCCTTGGCTACGACCGCGCACACCAGGCGCACTCTGGAGATTCTCGTGCTTTGTTTTGTCCCTTGTGATAGTTTCGATCTAAGGCTCGCTATCGCATCCTTGTCGAACGAAAATCTCTTGACAACAATATTAGGATCATATGTTGTCCTAACGGGCGACGAATCCTGGTCCGGATTCGTCCCCGGAAACAACGATGGCGACTCGAAACTCGGGAAAATCCCGATTGAATGATTGTTATCATTGGTGGCATTTGACCACGCGGCAACGAATGTCCCTAGAGAAGATGCATCGAAAATTCTGTGAGAAACGCTGACGCTTATTACAAGCCCGCCGCACGGCTTCAACTCGGTGATTTGGATCGACAGAAGCGGATCTTCCGAAGATTCGTCGACTTGGTAGAATTTGCTCGGAAGGAGATCATTTAGTAGCCCTGCTTCTTTGATTTTCAATAAATCGACCAACTCCACTTCGACGGCTTCTGCTTCTATGAACTCAACACCTTGATCACCGCAATCGACGAGGTAGTCATTCTTGACGTATCTTCCGGCAAGAATGTAGAATTCGGGGAGGATTTTAGCCAATGATTCCTCCAAGCGATGTTTTCGAATATTTGACGACGTTGGATAAAACAGAACGACGCCCACGTTTATCGACGGGACACGCTCGTCTACGAACGACAACTTGTACTTGTTAAGGTTCGGAGGAGTTGGGGTACATGGTTTTATCAACTTCCTGCTAACAACCTTAACTTTCATGCTTGGATATATTGTTAGGGGTGAATTGATGGTTGTATTACATACATTTCTTGTGAGTTATGTCTTTTTATAAAGCTAATTAATTTTGAGCTGGCTTTAGGGAATTTACATGTGAAGGTTCTTGAGCAGCTGATGTCAAATATCCAGCCATGCACTATTAAAAAAATATGGGTAAATTGCGGCCACCCCTGAGGTATGGTCAAATTACGAAAAAACCCCTCTTGTTTTTGGTAATTACAGCCACCCCTCTTTTTAAATATTTTTACATAAAATTTATGTACTTCTGTTATTTACCGAAGCAAATCGTATATTCATTTCAGTAAACGATACGAAATTTCGGCATGCCGAAATTTCGGTTCGGTTTTACCGATTTAACATCCCTAAATTTACCTCTGGAGGGGTTTTTGGTAGGATAATACATAGTTGAGGGGTGGCTGTAATTACCCAAACATGAGAGCGGTTATCGTAATTTGACAATAACTCAGGGGGTGGGTGTAATTTGCCCAAAAAATATCATGAGGGGGGTAAAATACGGTTTTCATCCTTCAACTTAGTATTGGTTTCACATTTGGTCACAAAAATTAAACACTTCTAATCATTTCCGTCAATTTTTCATTATTACAAACATAATCAAGTATGTGTCCATCATTTCTTTAACTGACTAATTAACGATAAATTGACGAAAATGACCAAACATGGTAAATTATTGAAACATGAGGAATCAAATGTATTTTTTGTGAACATGGAGGACAGAATGTGAAATTAGTACAAACTTGAGGGATGAATGATTTTGCCATTCCTATATATAAATATTATTACATGCATTACTCGAGCTTTACTTTTTTAATCCATCATTCCGGCAAATTAGGATATGGACATGTGAAAATTCAACTCTGTATATGTCAACGACGTCCAGCCACGCACCATTTAAAATAGTAACACGAGGCATTGTGTAAGAAAAGATATATAGTTGATAGTTGAAAATATACTTCTGAATCTCATGTATGATGTGAGACGGTGATTAAGCAAGAAATATTAAAAGCCATCCCCAATCAGGACAAGCAAAATGAAAAAAAAAAATCGAGGTTATTTGAGTATTTAACAAAGAGGTTTTTATGCATAAATCCCTATTCAACCATCTTTATTATTCTAGATTCAGGGATTATACTTTTTTTGTCAATAAGCCATTCCTTTAATATATATTATAAATAAAGGCAAAATTAAGGTATATGACAAAATTACCCCCAACCCTTTAAATGCAACTCCTAATTGTAACCTCCATTTAACTTCAATTTCATCAATTTTGACCATAAAATTCCAATTTTAACTTTTTTTTTATATATTTTTTTTTTGTTTTTCTTTCCGCCAGTTTTCGGCTTTAACTTTTTTTTTTTTACGTCCGCCGCTGTACGTTGACGGTAATTGTACGGTCATTAACAGTAATTATACTGTCGCTAACAGTAATTGTACTGTCGCTGACTATACATTTATGTAAGTGTATTGTCGTTGAGAATACATTTACTGTCAACCACATCAATATTATTATTTTTTGGGCAAATTACGGCCACCCCCTGAGTTATGGTCAAATTATGAAAACCCCTTCCTGTTTGGGAAATTACAGCCACCCCCTCAACTATGTATTATCTTACGAAAAAAATCCCTCCAGAGGTAGATCTAGGGATGTTAAATTGGTAAAATCGAACCAAAATTTCGGTACGCCAACAATTTATATCGTTTAGCAAACTGAATATATGATTTGGTAGGCAAATAACCGAATTACATAAATTTTATGTAAAAATAATTAAAAGGAGGGGGTGGCTGTAATTACCCAAACAAGAGGGACTTTTTTGTAATTTGGACATACCTTAGGTGGGTGGCTGTTAAGTGTATATTTATACACTTAATTGTATCTTTTAATTGGAGCTTTTGATGTGTTTTTACGATAATTGGTGCTTAATTTGGTTATTATTTGTATTTTAGGTGCAAATTGAAGAATTGGCAACTTTTGGGGTGAAAACTGCAATTTCGGAGAAAGAGTGGGCCAAAAGTAAAAAAGGCAAAATTCTGGAGAATCAAGGACCGCGCGGCCGTGCGGATTTTAGGCATAAATCTCACACGGCCGTCCGGATGGTCGAATTGGCGCAGTGAAGGAATCCTAATTACACAAGGAAACCGGCCCTATTATATTTTTACACCCTATTTAAAGGCCACAAGCACACAATTAGAGATATCTTTTACCTTTTATCTTTAATCTTTAGGTTTTTATTTTTCATCTTTCTACACGCGATCAAGGAGCACAAGAACGAAGACGAAGACTTGACGAATCTTCATCCTAGTTCCCCTCTTTGACTTTTATTTATAGCTTTTATGATTTTTATTACTTTTATTATGTTTTTCGTTATGAGTAGCTAAGTTTTTAATCTAGGATTTTGTTGGAACCCTATGTGGGGATTGTGAACCCGTTTTCTTGAGATTATGCAATTATGATTTTATGATTATTTCTTATACTTGTTATGATTGTTAGTGCATGAACTTGATCAATTTATGTGCTTTATCTGTGATTATTGGGATTGACTTGACAGAGCTATTTTGATAATTAGACGGTAAGTATAAGAGCCTTCGAGTAGTTTTCACCGGATGAGTGTGTCAATTGCATGTGGTGTCGTAGACATACAGATATCACCTTAGGTAGCCACTTACGAGACTTGTTAGTTAATGCTTTATTTATAATTGGTTTGCATAGACATATAGTGAATCGTTTATGAATAATAGACTCATAATACACGCGACAGCGGGTTATGAGTAAATTAGTGTCTCGGGTTAATAATCATGAATCATAAATTTCATAATTGAGGGGTTTTGGGTGAGCAATTCTTGCATAGGAGGAAGATAAAATCCTAGATCCGTTTCATATTGATATTTTCTCGTAATTAATTGTTTTCTTAATTAGTTTAATTTATTTAGTTAATTAATTTGACAACCTTGCGTAGGCTGGATAAAAATCGTAATTGTTACAATTTGGTACTTAGGATTAAATAATTTGCGTATTCCCTGTGGGATCGACATCCGACTCTCACGAGTCCACTTTTACTACTTGTTTGCGATACGTACACTTGCGTGTGGGTATTTAGCACCCAACAAGTTTTTGGCGCCGTTGCCGGGGAATACGACTATATTATCTATTTATTCTAATATCAAATTTAAGCAATTTTTCTTACTTCAGCCGTTTTATTTATTTTATTTTATAATTTTATTTGCTTATTTTATTTTTATTATTTTTGTTTAGGTACTTTTTATGCGAATGGAAGAAGAGAATAATCGTAGGGGAGATGACCAAGGGCGCTTACCGAATGCGGCAGGAGAGATCGCCAACGAGCAAGAGCAACGTCAGCCAATTAATCCACCACCTCATCAACGAGCATTGCATGAGTACACCGTTCCAACACTCAATGGGTTTCAATCAAGCATCCAGCAGCCCCCCATTGAAGCCAGCAATTTCGAAATTCGAGCGGGACTACTTACTATGCTCCAAAACAATGGGTTATTCAGCGGATTAGCTCATGAAGATCCGCATCTCCACTTGGTCAACTTCCTCGAAACGTGTGATTCACATAAGATGAACGGAGTGTCGCCGGAAGCACTGCAACTCCGACTCTTCAAGCACTCTCTCCAAGGAGCCGCAAGAGAATGGCTACAAACTCGTGCACCGCATTCCATCTCGTCTTGGCCCCAGCTAGCACAGCTCTTCATGAATACGTACAACTCCCCAACCAAAACTGAGAGAATCCGGAGAGAAATACAAAACTTCTTACAAGAAGCCGGTGAAGCGTTGTTCGAGACGTGGGAGCGATTCAAACAATTAATTCGGAGATGCCCGAATCACGGTCTTCAAGAGTGGCGGCAACTTCAAATATTTTATGACGGGTTGCAAGATAATTCGAGAACGGTGCTCGATTCAGCAGCTGGCGGTATGTTCATGAGCTTGACCTATGACGAAGCATACGAACTTTTGGAGCGAATCGCTAGGAATAAATACATGCGGGCATCGGACCGGTCAAATAGCGGAGCCATAAAGACGGGAGGAATTTTGGAGTTAGACGGGGTCACCGCAATCACTGTCCAATTAGAGAAGCTATCAAAGCAAGTAGCAGCATTGCAAACTCAGCAAGTCCATGCAGTCCAAATTCCCAACCAGTGCGTAGAAGAAACGGAGTCTCTAAATTATGTACATGACACTAATTGACAACAGAGGAACCCGTACTCCAACGCTTATAATCCGGGATGGAAAGATCACCCCAACTTTGGATGGGGAGGAAATCAGCAAGGACAAAGGCCAGCTCCCGGATTCCAAAATCCACCTCAAGCTTCAGCACAAGAAGTAGACCTCGCTGATATCTTAGCGAAATTCATGACGTCAACCCAAGCATCCATTCGGAACCTTGAGACACAAATGGGTCAACTTGCAACCCAACTAAACGCGAGGCCGTCGGGAGCACTGCCGTCGAATACGGAAGATCCTCGAAAGAGCAACATCGAGCAGTGTAATGCAGTAACTTTGCGAAATGGGAGGCAATTAGAGGAAGGTCCTAAAAAGTCCGTTGCACCACCGCCTATTGTAGAGGAGCCCAAAGAAAAGACCGAGGTCGGGCCAAGCAACACAAAGATCGCAGTAAGTGAATCTACTCCCAAGGTACCTTTCCCTCAACGTTTTCAAAACTCCAAGCTTGATATGCAATTTCAGTTATTTTTGGATTATCTTAAAAAGTTGCATGTTAATATTCCTTTTGTTGAGGCACTTAAGAATATGCCGAATTGGGTTAAGTTTATAAAAGAACTTGTGTCGAAGAAGATGAGGCTTCCGGAGTGTGCAGCAATTATAGACCTCAATGAGCAAAGTAGTGCGATCCTTGCAAATAAAATTCCACCGAAGCTTAGAGATCCGGGGAGTTGTACCATCCCATGCACAATAGGTACTAGGTATTTTGGGCGGGCATTGTGTG